GATGGTGACGGGACCTGGGGGGGCCTGCGGGAGGGCTGGGGACAGTGGTGGGACCTGGGGGACCCTGTGGGAGGGCTGGGGAGGGTGACACGGTGACCCTGCCCCCCCAGATGGCCTGCGAGTACCTGTCCCTGGAGGTGATGGAGCGCTGGATCCTCAGTGAGTCCTCGCGGTGCCCGTGGGTGCCCAGCCCCACGCGGGCACAGCGTCCCCAGCCCCCGGTGGGCGTCCCAGGTCCCATTTTGGGGCTGTCCCCGTGGCCGCGGGGGGGCTGGCAGCGTGGGCAGCCCCTGCCCCCCTGACGGCTGTGCCCGCAGTGGGGTTCCTGGTGTGCCCGGGGGCGCTGGGCGCGTCCCCCCAGTGCCTGGAGCTGTGGCGGCTGGCGCTGCAGGGCTCCCTCTTCATCACCCTCCTCCGCGACGAGGCCCTGCAGGTCCACAAGGTCACCGAGGAGCTGCTCGGCAGCCTCAAGGGGTAAGGGCCGTGCCAGCACTGGGGCTGTGCCCGGTGCCAGGGGCTGTGCCAGGGGCTCTGTGGGTGCCTGGGGCTCTCCTGGGTGCCATGCTGGGTGCTGGAGGGGTGCTGCAGTGGTTGGCAGGGTCTGGGGGGCTCTCCCAGCAGCTCTGCTGGGTGCCAGGGCCTGCCCTGGGTGTCAGGAGCTGTGCCAGGGGCTCTGTGGGTGCCTGGGGCTCTCCTGGGTGCCATGCTGGGTGCTGGAGGGGTGCTGCAGTGGTTGGCAGGGTCTGGGGGGCTCTCCCAGCAGCTCTGCTGGGTGCCAGGGCCTGCCCTGGGTGTCAGGAGCTGTGCCAGGGGCTCTGTGGGTGCCTGGGGCTCTCCTGGGTGCCATGCTGGGTGCTGGAGGGGTGCTGCAGTGGTTGGCAGGGTCTGGGGGGCTCTCCCAGCAGCTCTGCTGGGTGCCAGGGGCTGTGCCAGGGGCTTCTCTGGGTGCCAGGGGCTCTTCTGGGTGCCTTGCTGGGGGGTCGCAGGTGCTGCAATGTGTGGCAGGGTCTGGGGGGGTCTGCTAGCAGTTCTGCTGGGTCTCAGGGCCAGTGCCAGGGGCTGTGCCAAGGGCTGTGTGGGTGCCTGGGGCTCTCCTGGGTGCCATGCTGGGTGCTGGAGGGGTGCTGCAGTGGGTGGCAGGGGTTGGTGGGCTCTGCCAGCAGCTCTGCTGGGTGCCAGGGGCTGTGCCAGGGGTTTCTCTGGGTGCCAGGGGCTCTCCTGTGTGCCTTGCTGTGGGGTGCCAGGTGCTGCAGTGTGTGGCAGGGTCTGGGGGGGCTCTGCTAGCAGTTCTGCTGGGTCTCAGGGCCTGTGCCAGGGGCTCTGTGTGGGCTCTGTCAGCAGCTCTGCTGGGTGCCAGGGGCTGCACTGGGTGGCAGGAGATTTTAGAAGGTGCCAGGAGGTTGCACTGGGTGCCAGGGGCTGTGCCAGGGGCTCTGTAGGTGCCTGGGGCTCTCCTGGGTGCCATGGTGGGTGCCCAAGGGGGGTGCTGGGGGATGCCACGGTGCATGGCAGGGGCTGGGGGTCTCTGCCAGCAGCTCTGCTGGGTGCCAGGGGCTGTGCCGGGTGCTGGGAGCCTTTACAGGGTGCCAGGGGCTGGGGGGCTCTGTCAGCAGCTCTGCTGGGTGCCAGGGGCTGTGCCGGGTGCTGGGAGCCTTTACAGGGTGCCAGGGGCTGGGGGGCTCTGTCAGCAGCTCTGCTGGGTGCCAGGGGCTGTGCCGGGTGCTGGGAGCCTTTACAGGGTGCCAGGGGCTGGGGGGCTCTGTCAGCAGCTCTGCTGGGTGCCAGGGGCTGTGCCGGGTGCTGGGAGCCTTTACAGGGTGCCAGGGGCTGGGGGGCTCTGTCAGCAGCTCTGCTGGGTGCCAGGGGCTGTGCCGGGTGCTGGGAGCCTTTACAGGGTGCCAGGGGCTGGGGGGCTCTGTCAGCAGCTCTGCTGGGTGCCAGGGGCTGTGCCGGGTGCTGGGAGCCTTTACAGGGTGCCAGGGGCTGGGGGGCTCTGTCAGCAGCTCTGCTGGGTGCCAGGGGCTGTGCCGGGTGCTGGGAGCCTTTACAGGGTGCCAGGGGCTGGGGGGCTCTGTCAGCAGCTCTGCTGGGTGCCAGGGGCTGTGCCGGGTGCTGGGAGCCTTTACAGGGTGCCAGGGGCTGGGGGGCTCTGTCAGCAGCTCTGCTGGGTGCCAGGGGCTGTGCCGGGTGCTGGGAGCCTTTACAGGGTGCCAGGGGCTGGGGGGCTCTGTCAGCAGCTCTGCTGGGTGCCAGGGGCTGTGCCGGGTGCTGGGAGCCTTTACAGGGTGCCAGGGGCTGGGGGGCTCTGTCAGCAGCTCTGCTGGGTGCCAGGGGCTGTGCCGGGTGCTGGGAGCCTTTACAGGGTGCCAGGGGCTGGGGGGCTCTGTCAGCAGCTCTGCTGGGTGCCAGGGGCTGTGCCGGGTGCTGGGAGCCTTTACAGGGTGCCAGGGGCTGGGGGGCTCTGTCAGCAGCTCTGCTGGGTGCCAGGGGCTGTGCCGGGTGCTGGGAGCCTTTACAGGGTGCCAGGGGCTGGGGGGCTCTGTCAGCAGCTCTGCTGGGTGCCAGGGGCTGTGCCGGGTGCTGGGAGCCTTTACAGGGTGCCAGGGGCTGGGGGGCTCTGTCAGCAGCTCTGCTGGGTGCCAGGGGCTGTGCCGGGTGCTGGGAGCCTTTACAGGGTGCCAGGGGCTGGGGGGCTCTGTCAGCAGCTCTGCTGGGTGCCAGGGGCTGTGCCGGGTGCTGGGAGCCTTTACAGGGTGCCAGGGGCTGGGGGGCTCTGTCAGCAGCTCTGCTGGGTGCCAGGGGCTGTGCCGGGTGCTGGGAGCCTTTACAGGGTGCCAGGGGCTGGGGGGCTCTGTCAGCAGCTCTGCTGGGTGCCAGGGGCTGTGCCGGGTGCTGGGAGCCTTTACAGGGTGCCAGGGGCTGGGGGGCTCTGTCAGCAGCTCTGCTGGGTGCCAGGGGCTGTGCCGGGTGCTGGGAGCCTTTACAGGGTGCCAGGGGCTGGGGGGCTCTGTCAGCAGCTCTGCTGGGTGCCAGGGGCTGTGCCGGGTGCTGGGAGCCTTTACAGGGTGCCAGGGGCTGGGGGGCTCTGTCAGCAGCTCTGCTGGGTGCCAGGGGCTGTGCCGGGTGCTGGGAGCCTTTACAGGGTGCCAGGGGCTGGGGGGCTCTGTCAGCAGCTCTGCTGGGTGCCAGGGGCTGTGCCGGGTGCTGGGAGCCTTTACAGGGTGCCAGGGGCTGGGGGGCTCTGTCAGCAGCTCTGCTGGGTGCCAGGGGCTGTGCCGGGTGCTGGGAGCCTTTACAGGGTGCCAGGGGCTGGGGGGCTCTGTCAGCAGCTCTGCTGGGTGCCAGGGGCTGTGCCGGGTGCTGGGAGCCTTTACAGGGTGCCAGGGGCTGGGGGGCTCTGTCAGCAGCTCTGCTGGGTGCCAGGGGCTGTGCCGGGTGCTGGGAGCCTTTACAGGGTGCCAGGGGCTGGGGGGCTCTGTCAGCAGCTCTGCTGGGTGCCAGGGGCTGTGCCGGGTGCTGGGAGCCTTTACAGGGTGCCAGGGGCTGGGGGGCTCTGTCAGCAGCTCTGCTGGGTGCCAGGGGCTGTGCCGGGTGCTGGGAGCCTTTACAGGGTGCCAGGGGCTGGGGGGCTCTGTCAGCAGCTCTGCTGGGTGCCAGGGGCTGTGCCGGGTGCTGGGAGCCTTTACAGGGTGCCAGGGGCTGGGGGGCTCTGTCAGCAGCTCTGCTGGGTGCCAGGGGCTGTGCCGGGTGCTGGGAGCCTTTACAGGGTGCCAGGGGCTGGGGGGCTCTGTCAGCAGCTCTGCTGGGTGCCAGGGGCTGTGCCGGGTGCTGGGAGCCTTTACAGGGTGCCAGGGGCTGGGGGGCTCTGTCAGCAGCTCTGCTGGGTGCCAGGGGCTGTGCCGGGTGCTGGGAGCCTTTACAGGGTGCCAGGGGCTGGGGGGCTCTGTCAGCAGCTCTGCTGGGTGCCAGGGGCTGTGCCGGGTGCTGGGAGCCTTTACAGGGTGCCAGGGGCTGGGGGGCTCTGTCAGCAGCTCTGCTGGGTGCCAGGGGCTGTGCCGGGTGCTGGGAGCCTTTACAGGGTGCCAGGGGCTGGGGGGCTCTGTCAGCAGCTCTGCTGGGTGCCAGGGGCTGTGCCGGGTGCTGGGAGCCTTTACAGGGTGCCAGGGGCTGGGGGGCTCTGTCAGCAGCTCTGCTGGGTGCCAGGGGCTGTGCCGGGTGCTGGGAGCCTTTACAGGGTGCCAGGGGCTGGGGGGCTCTGTCAGCAGCTCTGCTGGGTGCCAGGGGCTGTGCCGGGTGCTGGGAGCCTTTACAGGGTGCCAGGGGCTGGGGGGCTCTGTCAGCAGCTCTGCTGGGTGCCAGGGGCTGTGCCGGGTGCTGGGAGCCTTTACAGGGTGCCAGGGGCTGGGGGGCTCTGTCAGCAGCTCTGCTGGGTGCCAGGGGCTGTGCCGGGTGCTGGGAGCCTTTACAGGGTGCCAGGGGCTGGGGGGCTCTGTCAGCAGCTCTGCTGGGTGCCAGGGGCTGTGCCGGGTGCTGGGAGCCTTTACAGGGTGCCAGGGGCTGGGGGGCTCTGTCAGCAGCTCTGCTGGGTGCCAGGGGCTGTGCCGGGTGCTGGGAGCCTTTACAGGGTGCCAGGGGCTGGGGGGCTCTGTCAGCAGCTCTGCTGGGTGCCAGGGGCTGTGCCGGGTGCTGGGAGCCTTTACAGGGTGCCAGGGGCTGGGGGGCTCTGTCAGCAGCTCTGCTGGGTGCCAGGGGCTGTGCCGGGTGCTGGGAGCCTTTACAGGGTGCCAGGGGCTGGGGGGCTCTGTCAGCAGCTCTGCTGGGTGCCAGGGGCTGTGCCGGGTGCTGGGAGCCTTTACAGGGTGCCAGGGGCTGGGGGGCTCTGTCAGCAGCTCTGCTGGGTGCCAGGGGCTGTGCCGGGTGCTGGGAGCCTTTACAGGGTGCCAGGGGCTGGGGGGCTCTGTCAGCAGCTCTGCTGGGTGCCAGGGGCTGTGCCGGGTGCTGGGAGCCTTTACAGGGTGCCAGGGGCTGGGGGGCTCTGTCAGCAGCTCTGCTGGGTGCCAGGGGCTGTGCCGGGTGCTGGGAGCCTTTACAGGGTGCCAGGGGCTGGGGGGCTCTGTCAGCAGCTCTGCTGGGTGCCAGGGGCTGTGCCGGGTGCTGGGAGCCTTTACAGGGTGCCAGGGGCTGGGGGGCTCTGTCAGCAGCTCTGCTGGGTGCCAGGGGCTGTGCCAGGGGCTCTGTAGGTGCCTGGGGCTCTCCTGGGTGCCATGCTGGGTGCTGGAGGGGTGCCGCAGTGGGTGGCAGCTCTGCTGGGTGCCAGGGGCTGTGCCAGGGGCTCTGTAGGTGCCTGGGGCTCTCCTGGGTGCCATGGTGGGTGCCCAAGGGGGGTGCTGGGGGATGCCACGGTGCATGGCAGGGGTTGGGGGTCTCTGCCAGCAGCTCTGCTGGGTGCCAGGGGCTGTGCCAGGGGCCGTGCCGGGTGCCGTGCCGGGTGCCGTGCCGGGCACTGCCCTGCCCTGACCCCCCCACAGGTACGGGAAGCGCGTGGCCGATCTGAAGGAGTGCAAGGAACACGCCGTGGCTCACAGGTTGGGGGGCAGCGGGTCTGGGGGGGCTGGGGTGGGTCCCAGGGGCACCCTGGGGAGCTGGGAAGTGCCAGGGCATCCCCAGAGGGCTGTGGGGGTCACAGGGGG